AAAGAGTGGTACAGGCTGCCTTTGGAACTGGGATTACTGGTGCTCCCTCCTCACTACGCCACTCCTGTATGGGGGATGGTGGGGAAAGGTAGTTAATAAAGGGAAGTATATCCCTGTTCACAGCTACTATTGCCATTTGGCATGGAAAATTTGGAGCAAATGATCACGTGAAAGATCCCCAGTGCTTATCAGAACTACTTTAAATACTAATGCAAACTATTACATGCAATGCCATTTAAATTTTTATCCCATTGCACTTTAAATCCTCAATCTATGCCTCTACTAACCTTTAGATTGCAAACATAAACATGTACATAGAGCAAGGATTTATTAAAAAAAGTAGACTTCAACATACAGATTGTTTAAGAACAAATCTCCAAGTGAAGCTGTAGCTCTTAGGATTTTTCCTTTTGACCAATTCTCTGCTTTGTGTTGCTGCAGATGGAATTTTATCAGTGTTTGCCTCCCTAGTGTGTTGGTTGGTTCTTTCATTGACATGGAACAAACATCACAGATGTTATCAAAGTAACAAAAGGACAGGCAACAAAAAAAGGCTTAATTTTTAAAATCTAATTGAATATTTCATGTTAATCGAAAGTGTATTGCTGTTCCATGAGCAGTGTGATGTTTGTGCTTGGCTGAGTAAGCTTTCAATATACTATAATTGGATTTGTTCACTCCAGATCTTCTATATACCTCTGTATAACACAGCTCAGCTCTACCAAAGTAGTCTGATGGGTTTTGTATCCCTGTAGATTTGCAGAAACAGTAAAGAAACAGACACCACTGTTTTCTGGAGATGTTGAGGGTTTCTGTGTAACTTCTGTGGATTTACATTTTCCGGGTAGCCTTTAGTTGGTTGTTTCAGTCCAGCACAGCTTGCCAAGGTTCGCAGTTTAGTTCATGTGAAGGTTTTTTTCAATCAAGCTGTAGAGTTCTGGCTACTCACACAATGTCTATGCCCATGTTTTTAATCTCCTGTCAGAAGGAACCTGGAACAAAGGCCAGCAAAGGTGCTAAAGGGAAGAAGGATGAAAAGCAAGAAGCTGCAAAGGAAGGTACTACACCATCTGAAAATGGTGAAAATAAAGCTGAAGAGGTACTTTCCACACATACCTCCTGCCGATTGAATCAGTGTTTTTTAATTATTCAGCCTTTCAGACATTGCTAGCATGTTCATAATGTTTCTTTTTATTGCCCATAATGTTATTGCAGATTCGCATCTCTCGCTCAACTGTTAGTGTTTCAACATCCAGAGGTGCCCCACCCAGCACACTGTCAGTAAAAGGGCAGATTGAAACAGTGAAAGTTCAGGGTGCGGTAGAGCATTCAGCATGTGTGCAGTGAATAGAAACAGGTGGTAGTGTGGTGCTTTTCAGTGTGAACGATGGATGCTGACAGGTAAGGCCTGTATTGCTTTTGAAAAGCTGGGACTGATGAGTTGAGAAAAGTGTGTGGCTGGACCTGTTCCAGTGGCATAAATGTCAAATGGACATAGGTTGGAAACTGAGCTGTTGCACGTAAGAAATCAAAGGAGTGAGGATAGTTTGGGTGTTTAGGTACATAATGGCAATTTACTATAGTAATTGAATTTCTTTCTCTCTTCTCCACAGGCTCAGAAAACTGAATCTGTAGGTGACAAGAATGAATGAAATATCATGAAAATTTTGGGTTGATTTTATGTACCTCTTGGACAACTTTTAAAAGATATTTTTATCAAGTATTTTGTAAATGCTAATTTTTTTAGGACTATGATAGTTGACATATTAAACTGTATATGAACATTTCCCTTCTCATAACAGCGCTTTTAGAAATTCCCCATTGTTGCCAAGTAATATAAATATCAACTTAATATTGCAAGGTATGTGTAAAATTGGATCAGCATTCCATACACTTGCTTTAAGAAATTAAGTCTTGTGCATATGGTGATGTTTTTACTGTGCGTATTTGAATTTTTCATGCAGTTTTTCTAGAGCAATAATCAGTGGTGCTTTTGTACTTAGGGTTTATGTGATTTTAATGAAACATGGATAGATGTGGCCACCTGCTGACTATTTTGGGTTCTTTTAATGGATTAAAATAAAAGGTCTCCTTGCCTGCAAAACTACAGCCTCCTAATGTTTTCTCTCAGTCTGAGGAATGCCTTACTCATTTTTTTGACTGTTATAAGGAAGTCTAAATGGTTTAGTAACAATTGTTTTGCATGCAGTCTGTTTGCTTTTTTTTTTGCTGATGTCTGATTAAAAACCACCCACACGGGAGTAGCAAATGGTGTTTTCAGTGGCCCACAATTTAAGGGACATTCTTCATAGATACATTCATCAGATACACTGTCACAGGGTGAGGAGAGTTGTCATACTCTGTCAGGATATTGTGTCTGTAATGAGCTACCAACACAGAACATAGAGACATGCAGTAATTTAAAAGTAGCTTTGTTTCTCCCCCACTCTCTTTTCATTAACTTGCATCATACTCGGTGGAAACCTTTCTTTCTATCTGCAGCCTCAAATTGAATATAAATAGTAATTACTGTTCTGCTTCAGCTAAGGACAGTTGTTAATACATTGAAATCGCTGTTAAACAGTGCTATATATTTGGTACCTGGTGAAAATGGAACAATGAAAGTTATTTTTGAGGTGACTGTGGTGATGTGGTAGATTAGCTAATGATTTTTTTAGTGTCCATGTTTCAAGACTGCAGCTCATTCTAAGCACCTTTTATGATTTTTCTCCTTCTCTTTTCTCTAGGGGCCCTGGTATTTCTATTGTTACTTCTGGGATGGGAGGGGTGAAAGAAAAGATGTTCCCTGTTCTTCACTAGCATTGATTTGTATTGCTCAAGTGGTAGCCATGATGTCTGAGGATACCTTTTGCTTGTTTAAGTCAATAAATAAATGACTGTTGCCTGACCCTAGCGTTCTATTTATTCTTTGGGAGAAATCTCCAGTTGCCTTTTTTAATTAAAACCAAAAAGAAGCCAAGCATATCTACACTTAAAAATTGAAGCTTGATTAGCAAAGCTCTCTGAGCTAGCTAGAATAGGAGTTGAGGCCTGCATTGAGATAAATGTCACTTATGGGTTTTTGATAGGCTTGCTACACCCACAGAAGAGGAGGCAGCAGCCTGCTCTGCAGCATGAACTTAATTTTGGGAGAAAACTAAAAGTAATTCTCTGCTTTTGCTGATGGAAAGCAGAGTGCTCTAACAGAAATTGTAGCTAATGAGCAGGAAGGTCCATATTGTTACTCAGTGATATGTATTTGGTAGTCCTCCACAGTACTTCTGATGTGCTTTCTGATGGGCCCTGTGGAAAGTCTGTTAGTTTAGAGACTCCAGTCATGGGAAGTTTAACTGTCTGAATTTTTACACAGAAACATCAAAGTGCTGTTTCTGAGTATTTGTCAATTTATGGGGTTTTCATTCCTCTGTGTGTGTGTGTATACTCTGATCATTTTGTGTGGATTACTGAGATTAGTTATCCTATCTAGGCAGTTGGAGTTTTTGAAATGACCCTTTTAACCTAGATTTAACTTAGTCATGAGAAGACACACTCCTCTGGACAGGCTTATTTTAGGAGAGCTCCTTTTACTAAATGCCTAAAAGGTGGGCAAAAGTTGGGTCCTTAAACTAATTGCACAATATCCTGACGTAGTAATTTTGGCATAAAATTCTTCTGTTGTCTCAACCGGATTAGGAAATTCAGCTCAGTGCCAGAGTTTTTGTTAAAAGCATTTAACAGAAAATCCACTTGGGTGAAGTGCAGTGAAACACACTATCCTGCTGATTCACTTAACGTTTCTGGCTTTTCAAAATTGCTTTGTAAATGTGATGCTTTTCCTCTACGAGTCAAGTTTTCAGAGAAGTCTTCAAAGCACTGTATCAAGTCCTAGAACACATTTTTAAAATTAGCATAGTCACACATTCATGTAGCCAGAGTCTTTGTGGGCAGCTGGTGATCTGCACAGAACCTTCAGGAAGTACGGAAGTATTTTGGTTTTGAAGTGGTGCTTGAAAGTGCCAGGTGCCATATCTCTGCCATGAAGAAACTTGCATCATCAGTGTTTAATGACTGGCTGCTTCACACTTGAACACAAGGCTTGGAGGGATCCCTGAAAGTGGTATTTATCCTTTGTGGGGTGTAGTAGGTGGGTTGTTCAAGGTACATTAAAAAGATGAGAAGGAGAGACTTTTCTAAGTTTAAAGAAGGCAGGTACATCAGAAACAAGACTGGAAGAATGATAAAAATAAGTTTCTCTTGAATAGTTAAAAGTTCTCCTTCCCCTTGCTTTATATAATTCCTCTTGGTTGTCACTTTCTGCTACTTCCCTATCCCTGACTGACCTTGGGCTAATTGCATATGTCAGCACAAGGTTACACTTGGTATATTGTCCCTTCAAATGGCTAAGACAGCTTTTTCTGAACAGAGCTGTGCAGGTGAGATGCAAGCATTTAATGGGAATGCTCATGGAAAATTAACCCTTATGCTAAACAGCAGTGAAATTTAAGTTGTTTTGGTACATTTTGCTCAACTCTTGAAAGTTTGAGAGTTATTTTGTCTGTTCATAACCGCAAAAAGGAGAAAATAGGGAAAGGAAAAAAACATGAGCAAGGAAATAAAGATCCTTTATTGGAATAAATAACGTGTTAGCTAAATTTCTAGTAGAATGGGAGAAGTTTTTTTGGGATTTTTTGGGGGGTGGGGTTTTCTTGGTTGTTTTGGTTTGGTTTTGTATATTTGGTGTCCATGTCCTGGTCCAGTAAGATTTGGGAGTGTTCAATCTATTCCCCCAATGTGAATTAAGACACAAACGAGGTCAAATACCATTAGGGAGTGAGACTTTAGTAGTGGTCACACAAAGGGGAGAGAAGGGGTGATAGGAAAGTTAGAAACAGGAAAGGGAGATTGTTAGAAGTAAGCCAGATTTGGTATGCCAAAGCAGAGATAGTCACCACCATGGATCCAGATGATCTGTAGTCATGTAGAAGAGGCATAGTCTCCACCATAGCTCCAGCAGCATTCCAATGATCTGTAGTCATGTAGAAACAGTGGTGGTCACCACCATAGATCCAGAAGCATTGTCATGATCCATAGTCATCTTTTCTTCAGTGGTGTGTGCCAGGCTCTGGACACTAGTGCTTTTTATAGGGCTCTGCCAGAGCACGGATTGGTCAGGTTCCCTGGAGCTGAGCAATTCCCAGCCCTGTGATCTCAGCAGCTGGAAGTGATGTCAGTTGTGGACAGTGGTGCCTCATAGAGCTGATTTCCATGGCCCGAGGAATCCCGTGACTCAGGATCCTTGAGGCAATCAGCCACCCCTCTGCCCCACAACAAACCATCAAGGCCAGGCAATGTCGAAACAAACATTTATTTCTTAAAGGTCCCTTATATTTGGTGGTATGATTATTTTTTAATATGGTTTTAGAAGAGAAAAATAAGATCACTTAAATGTTCAAGTGACTACATGCCTTAAAGTCAAAGCAGTCCTGCAACCTAAGGTATACATCATGATACCAAGCCTTAACAGCCACGATGTTGATTAAATTCCTACCAAAATATACAAGATTTATATAACCCTGAAGAGATTATGAATGGAGGAACAAGTGGCCATTCTGTATTCTATAATGGTAAGGTGTCATCAAATGAGAAAGGGCAAAATAATCTGAAATGGGAGTCTGTCTTTTCTGAAGAAATTGCTTTTGACCTGGCTGCCTCACTGGACCTATACTTTCACTCATATCGTTGTATCTGGCATAGTGCTGGGCCACTGGCTGGGTCAGATTTAAAGCAATGATTTAGTCTGCTATGTCAGTTTATATTAAATAAAACAGTAAACTTCTATATTTGAATCAAAGCACAAAAAGATACAGGAGCCTGTCTATAAACAAATTCACTAGCAAGAACTCTTGTCCATCCTCCTGGCTGAAGGTTTATTATCTTTCCTTTATTTGTGGGAAACTTGAATACTTTGGCTGCTGGTTGAATTGTTGCATGCATAAAGGTCAGGAGATGCACTAGAATGTTCAGTGCCATTATATTTTTGTAAAGGCAAGAATTTTCTACAGCTGTTCTCTGTAATAAACATACTTTTTGCTTTATTCAGAAACTGAACTTAGCATAAAGCTATTACTTGGCTGCCTATAGCCAAATTGCCAGCAACTGCCTTCTATAATGTCCAATTCAGCATTTATAATAGATCAGAATGAAGTAGTTAATGGTTTTCCTATAGACAAAGTACAAGATGAGAAGCAAACCTTTGGTACATTACTCCTTTTGTAAGGAGCCAAAGTATTAGCAACAACATAGTTCAGATGTAACAAGCAGAGACTAACAGGTGTTTGACTAGTACAGCAAAATACTCCTAAGCACCCTCAAAGTGGCTATGAATGACTTCTGGTGAAAAGTAACTACCACTAGATTTCAAATTTGTCTATTGACAGTAATTAGTCCCTTCCCCTCCCCCTCCAATATGAATGGAAAATCACATTTTCGTGCCTGCCAAGACAAGGACAAAGCTGGTAATTTAAGTTCATGCTCAGAAAATAAATGTGTGCGAGGCCATTGTGCTTCATTTTAGTACTGCATTTAAGTTACAGTAGTATAAATTGTAGGGATTATTTTATCACTGTTTTGATTCTCATTCAGAAATAAATTT